CACTCAGCTGAGTGCCTTAGATAGTGGATTGGTGCTTGCTTCTCGGCATTGCTCCACGCTCTCCACCCCCCTTCATCCAAGTCCTTCATAACCCGCTCAGCTTCGTGCTTCAGATTAAGGAGCTGCTTCGTTTCCACATTAATTTATCGTGTGGATCGGTTCTTCTCGTCATTTTTTCGCCCCGGGGCCCAGGCCCCTTCATCCAATAACATTCCTTCTATTCTATACCGTCGTCCTCTAGAGCCGCGCACCCTTTCTTGTTGTCTTCCCGTTTCAAGTTCTCTTTTCTTTTTTTGAAATTTGTTTGTTTTCATCCATGCACTTCCATTCTCTCTTCTCTTGCTCTCATGTTTGTGATACTGCAATCAGTCACTGCGTCTCTGACTCGCTGGCCCGACTCTGGGAACGACTTCTCAGTTCTAACCGAGGTCTCGCATCTGATGTTGTGCGGAAACTGTTACAGTAGTACATTAAGACTTAGTGCACTTTTTAATTATCTAAGTTTATTCAAAAATAGAAGCTTGGACCATCATTTTCAAACCTCGATTATTTTTGCGCGTACTTTCCAACACTTTTTTGTTGGCACGGTTTGAACGTGAAAGCATCTCCCCAGAAAAACACACACACATACTACATTCTCGTTCACATTTTTCGGTTGTTTGTCTTTTTGTTTTCCGCCCCTGTATTCTCTTCAACATTCACGTACTGGCAGGTACTGCATGGTTTGGCCTTGCGTTGTGCCTCTCGAAGACTTAGTGCCCAAGTCCACTACCCTCAAGATGTGCCAAAAAGTCAATGCTTGGTCAATGACATATGGAATGCCTGAGACTGTGGTGTTTGGGATGCTAGTGTCGCCTATGTTTTTCAGTGATGACACAAATCCAGTACCCTCAAGATGTGCCAAACAGTCAATTCTTGCAGTCCCTGCACTCAGATGGTCATGGCTGCAACCTGCACGGCCCAACCCGGTCCGGAATAGTAATATAAATAAATTGAATGAATATAATTTTTTTTTTTTTTTTAATTATTAACTTTCAAGAGGTAGTACGGTTTTTTTCGGTCCGGAATTTGAAGAGTAGGACCGACTGTACCACCCGAATCAAACTGAACAGAACAGAAACTAGTCTTCATCTTAGACAAAAGGTCAAGTGAGAAAAGTATACCACCACAGTTTGTATTCCTTTTTCCCTTCTGTTTTTTTTGTTTTTTTTTGATTCACAAGGGCTCTGGAACTTCTGGCCCTTCTGGGAACAAAGACGACCAGATGCAAAGCTTGTTGTCATTGATTGTTTTGCATTTTGGTGGAAACTCTCCTGAATGGACTTGTGTCTTCTCACCCGAATTGAAGGCCTGGCGATCACTATAGCAGTATTTGGGACAGCTTTCAGTCCAGATACCGCAACGATGACGGGGCGTTCTATTCGGGTGAAGACGGGAGTTGGATGGGGTGATGCTGGGAAGATCATTGATCATCGATCATCGCCTGAATAGAACGCCCAATCTTTATAGCAGAATTTGGTGGCAAATTGGTGCAGCTTTCAATCCAGAGAATTTGGTGGCAAATTGGTGGCAAATTGGTGGCAAATTGGCAAATTTGGTGGCAAATTGGTACAGCAATGATAATGACGGGGCATTCTGTTCTGCTGTCAGTCCAGATACAGCGATGAAGATGCTAGGCTGGAGGAGGGGTGATGCAGCACTGATGCTGGGATGATCATTGGATTCATTGCACATCCCAGTGCTGTAAACATTGCACATTATGGGCCTCGTTCCGCTACTCGCAAAATGTGTGAAAATGAGACTGAACCTTCTGCTGGAACATGGAACGGTACTGCGCCATATTTTTTGTCTTTCCTGCATGTCGAGAGTAGTGGAGCGAGGTCCTACGTCTCTCACAATATTAAAGCCTTCCAGTTGCTGAACGAGCTGATTTTCTTTAGGAAACTGTGTTTCCTGTTTTCGCGACTACTTTCCTTTACAGGAATTCGATGTCCGAGGCCGAGAACCTCGACACTCTCTGCAACATCCCCCCTCACAATGCTTTTTGAGTCATAGCGTCCTCTTGACCTTGTCGGCGCTGTCGCAAATATGGGTACTAAACGCACAGCAAAGCATGCAGCACAGCCTATACAGGGGGCAACTTTCAACAATTTGAAAGTGGTGTGGGGCAGGCAATTGCGCGAGTATGCAAGTGCGTGATTGGGTGGGAGGTGGGCGGGCACACAACAAACGGACACACTAAGCCTCAGCACGGTTACTCGACACCATATGCACTGGCCAACACAACTTGAACGTAGTGGTGCACGTGGACGGGGCGCACAAGCATATACAATGACACGTGGAAGAGGGCCAAGGGATGAAGGGGAGCAGAAGAAGTCCAACCCAAAAGAGGTTGTGAGTCTTGCGAGTCGCGACCATCGAATATCATTCTCCAGAGATTAGCTGTATGTTCCATAATTCCATATCCTACTCTGCTTTTGCTCCACGGTGCAATTCAATGAATTCATATACAAAAAAATCAAATTTGTCATTTGCAGGAATGTTGAGCAATACTGCCTTTTGCTCTTCAGAGCTTCTTTTTAGACAATGCATGATATAGCTAAGTTGATCTTTTTTTTTTTTTTTTTTTTTTTGAACAAGTGCTCCAGTCTATTCGTGGGGAGCAGCACGTGCTGGGCCCAGCGTCCCATATTGATCTAAATTCATTTGTGTACTCAATCCTCTTTCTTTTTTTCATTTTTGTTCCCCTCATTTTTCAAGCTTGGTTTGCAAAGTTCAGGTGGCACTGCATGGTCCCACTACCGGTAGCAAGGGGATAGGATAGAAAAGAGTTTGTGTGGCAGTTGAGTGTGACCCAAATCCTGCCCGTGATCAGTACTCGTGAGTGATCCCACGGTCAGTATTTTTTACATGTATTGCCCGAAAAAAGGAAGGAGATCTTTGTTCCCCACCTCCCACCTCCTCTCCTTAACACTCACTGGGCATGCCCGTGCAAAGAAAGCTTCCTGCCAAAATCTTTTCAATCCGTTGGGGTATATATATATATATACCCCAACGGATTGAAAAGATTTTGGCGGGAAGCTTTCTATATAACCCAACGGATTGAAAAGATTTTGGCGGGAAGCTTTCTTTGCACGGGCATGCCCATCGTCAATATATATATATATTATAATAATATATATGGAGGGGGTCATGATCCCTGCTGACAGAAGTCTCTTTTTTCAATTCCAGAAAAAAAAATGTGGCAGTTACTTTGTTCACTGTTGTTGGGACCACCACCATCAGATCATTTGTGATCTGCTGGCTGGGAAGCACTCTGCCGTGATTTCTGGTGGAAGGTCTCTGTTTATTTTTATTTTTTTTGCCTTTCTCTTGTTTTCTCAGCCCAGAAATTCGTAATGAACCTGTCAGCCCGCTGCCACTCAGCGTCACACTGGATCGGCCACACTCCTATCCGACTGCTAATGGGACCATGCTTCAGGTATCTGCAATTGAAAGAAAACAAAAAAAAACAAAAAAAAAAAAACCTCAATGACTTCGTTTGATGGAAGGCAACGGGGAAAAAAAACAAAAACTATAACAATGATAACATTGAAAACAATCCAAGGTGGACAGTAAAAAAAAAAAAAAAAAGAAAGCCAATGGTGAATAGTGACGAGTCACGAAGCACTATTGAAGGTAATAGGGAACACAGGATATCGCAGGGAAGGGTTAATATAGAATGGCACAGAATGCTATACTCGGGCTTCGAACGTAAGGAGGCAATTATGGTGCAATCGTTTACACGAGATAGGGATGATATGCCCAAAAAAGGAGACTTGCTGAGTTAAGAGAGATTGACAACAAGCTGAGTTTGGGGTTAAGGTGGTGAGCAGCAGGCCCCCCTTGATTAGGCGGATAGTGACACAAGGGGTAGGGCGACCCTCTTTTTCTTGTCTATTCTCTCCCCTTTTATCTTCTGTATAAACATGGTTGCCAGTGATAAGCAACAGGACTGATGCCGCCCAGAATAGAAGGGGGCTTTGTTTGTTCAAAAAAGTAAAAAAAAAGGGTGAGGATAAGAGAATGCAAAAAAAAAAAAAAAAATTGCAAGGTAAGGATCAGGGACAAAAAAAAAAAAACAAAAAAAAAACAGACGTGTTGCGCTGCTTGCACATTCATAGAACCTGTCCAGTGTCCAATATCTTTCGCCCATCCATCCAAAATGTCCAACAAAGTAGCACACGCCATTGATTTTTTTTTATTTTTTTTCTTAACTGCCGACGAAGTAGCAAAGGCCATCGATTTTTTTTATTTTTATCTTCACAAAAAACAATCATAATCATCCGCCATCATTTCATTCCAATTTTGGATTTTGGAACAAATGCAATCAGCGTTGAGAACATCTACATTTCCTTGTGTGCTTGTTTCCCACTTCTTCCCATCATTATAGGGGTTTTTTTTTTTTTTTTTTCCACACTTCGATTTCCCTTGTGCTTCACTTTTTTTTTTTTTTTTTTTTTTTTTCAAACTGACCCCCCCGATGTCAATTCAGCATTGTTTACTCGTTTGAGTTGATTGGGATTCGAACTGGGGTCTGTATTTTAACAGTTCGATGGGTGTGTACCGATTGAGCTAGGCCCATTGGGGGTACTACTACTACGTCATGCTTCTCTAATCCAACCACTTCTGGAGACGACACAAATCTCCAGTTTCCATTGAAAAATTAAAAAATTGAAAATTCCCTAAAGAGCAACTCTAAGAAAGAAATTAGGAAAACAAAATTGGGCGAGCGAATTTTCAAATTTTTATTGTTTTTTCAAAGAAAGAAGACTCAAAATCAATCCCCCCCCCCCCCCCC